AAAACCAAAAAGAAATGCTGCCTACCCTGAGAAATGCAAGGGAAGGGCCTGTGCCTGTTCTGCCTCAGATGCCAGTGTTCAGCTGGATGGACATGTCCTTAGCTGTCTTCTTGCTTGTAAAATGGATCACAGGTACCCAGGCTTGAGTTAAAATTGGCTGAATAAACTTTACCACAGTATACTGGTTTAAATGTGAATTGCCTTTTAAGAGCCAGCAAAAATAGCTTTTTGTAGTAGTGATTACACTGGCTTGCTTAAAAGAAACCTGAACTTTCTGAAGAGCTGTTTGGAATCCTAGCTCAGACCAGATAAGCATGTAGGAGGAACACAAGAAACAAATTATATGCAAGCATTAGAGGCATTCCTTGTTCACTCAAATAGCAGCCAGTGCCAGGCTTTCTGCGGAATATTCTCATGTTCGTGCTCAATTTCTGGGCAAAAGCAGCTTTAACTGGGGTGATGTTTTAACTGAGTATAGAAAGCTCTGAAGGAGAGAAGACGGCATTAATCAGGATGCAATTTCATGGGGTGCAATCAGTTCTCCCTCAGTTGGGGGCTCTACAGCATTCTTTTGATCTGTTCACCACTATGCCTAGATCTAATTCTGGCGCGTGCCTTTTGTACAAGAAAACAGATACGAGTCGACGTCTTGGAGCTCCTGGGTTAGGACACTACAAAATGTTGAAAGGTAACCACAAGTAAAATAAACCCACATATGTGGGTTTGGCCACCTTGCCTAAATAGTTCTTTGAGCTCAGAGTTATAAATAAGCAGCTCTCTTCTTCAGCTGTAGTATCAAAGTCCAGCACTTGCTGGACACTCAAATGGAAAGGGGAAATGGGGTATTTGCATCCTGCAGCAGATCAGGTCACTAAAGCTGAAGGTCTCAGACATGTTGTCTTGAAGTAGTGGGAAGAGAATTTGGAAGCTGGTAAGGTTTGAGCTCAGAAATTCCAGATGCTCTAAAATTTCCAATACTCTAAAATCCACTGGGCATTGCTGAAATGTAGATTACGCAGCAGCTCTGGGTTAAGTTTTCCGAGCGGCCTGTAAAATGAAATACGTTGTTTTGTTTGGACTGTTTTCCTCTGGACTGGCCCTGACATACTGCCAGGGTATGAGTGAGACTTCCTAACAGTGAGCTTTCACGATCTGGTCAAAATCTACATGCTCTTTTATTTGCCTCTTGCTAAGAGACCCTCCAGCAGGCAGCAGCATCTGGGGATATACTCTTAAGTTTTTATGCAAAAAGAGGTGAAACCTTAAAGTTGAAGACCTCAGCGTTTGGTGGAGGGAGAGAGGTGGGAGGTGAAAGAGGAGTGGGGTTTTGGCTTCTTTTTGTTCTTTAACTGTCTCCTGTGTCAGGCAGTAATTGTCTGCTGTGGTGTTTTCTTAGATCTGAGGGCTCTGTGCAGCATCTGGGTGTGCTTGGGGCAGTTTATAGTGAAGGTTAATGAGGTCAGCCAGCAGTAAGGATATAGAGTTGTAACCTCATCAGGTTGGTTCTGCTAATTCAGAGGCAGCCCAAGGGCTGCATGTTTAGCTGCAGGCTCCTTATGGTAGCTCTGTGCAGAATCACTGGGCATTACTCTTTTATTAATGACTCATTCTGTTTGCCTCCAACTTTACACAACTACCTTTTCAGCCCTCTACTCTATCCTCCTGTACTGATGGTACCAGTCCTGTGCTTGCACGTTGTGCAACCCACCCTCAGAGATTGCTAAAACTTGTTTTGTGGTAGCTTGCTTCATTGTTTGTGGGGCAGCTTTCAGTTAGCAGAGGCAGGCCACAAGATGGATGGCACATCACCTGGAGCCTGGTTAGGTGTTGCTGTGTGTTGCACTAGCTAAAGCAAGTGAGAGACTTCCTGCACCTGAGATCAAAAGTTGAGGTTTCATTGGACATCAGTTCCAGCACAGGTAATTTTCAGGGACACAGTGCTTCATAACTGTTGTTTGAATGTTTAAGAGCAACAGTCTTGGTACAACTTAGTTGTGCAGACTTACTGTACCACATAAGAAAGCAGAGGTGCAACAAGAGGGAGGGGAAGCAGAACACTTAAGTTCTGTTGAGGTATGGGAATGCCTGCAGTTAAGCAAAGTTAAAGGGCCCAATTTGCAACAAGATGGTCAGGCACTGAAACAGGAGTCCAGAGAGGTGATAGGACCGCCATCCTTGGAGATGTTCAAAGACTGGCAGAACATGGCCCTGAGCCACCTGATCAAATTCCAGAGTTGGATTTAACTTTGAACTTGCCCCTGCTTTGAGCAGCGAGTCAGACCTGATGGCCTCCCAGGTCCCCTTCTAACCAAAGCTATTCCATGGCTCTGTGAAAGTAGTATTGATGTTTAAGTGACATACTGCTGTGTGCTCCCATTAGGAGTTGGCATTTTGGCATTTCTGTCTAATGCTGTGGGTGTTAAATGCCTTGGGGCCTTCACAGAGTTGCCTGTTGAGCCTTTCCATCATTGTTCATAGTCAAGAAAAATCAAACAGGTGGGGGGGAAATAGAGTGGTAGTACTTCAAAGGAACATCATGTTGCTGACTCATCCTTGCTCTTCTGTGTCATCTTCCATCAGTGATAACTTGTGCTGCATTTCAAGCACTTCTCAAAACATCTTGTTTTATTCACAGGCCCAGGTGTGAAGACTCCAGAAGCACGAACAGTTGAGTACTTGGAGGAGGTAGCAATTGGCTTTGCCAGGGGACTAGCCAACAGGACTGTGTCTTCCAAAAGATCAAAAGGGCTAATACAGAGTAAGTCTGTAGGCATCGTAGCCAAATCCCAAGGGACTGTAGAGAGTCTAATCTAGCTTTGCTTCTCAGGGATATGTTTGTGCTCCTACTTAATTCCATTTTAAAAACAAAATTATTTCATGTTGTAATCATCTCTTGAGAGAGGTGGGTTGGTAGAGAAAACACTGCTCTGCAGGTCTGATCTTCAAGTGGCATTGCCAGAGCTGCACATGGTGGCTCCTGAAGTATACTAGACCGGAGCCAGGCCTCGGCGAGAAAGCGGTAGCTACCTCCAGAGGACTATCCATCTTCAAAATTTTAGTAGCAAGTTCTGTACCAAGGTTGTGTAATCAAGTGGGAAGAGGCACATGGGTCTGCTCTGTACTAATCCTCTTTAAGCAGCACTCTACAGTTAGCAGAGCCCTGAAATGGTGACTTCCCTGTGTGAGTTCTACTCCACAGAGGTCAGTCTGTCACCAGTTGTATGAGGAGGATATTTTAACCCTAAATGAGACTTGTCTGTGGAACGAGCCATAGAAAGCCTTCTGAGCAGACCATGCTACCTGTGGCTGAGTTTCAGGTGCATGTTGCTATTGCAGATATGCAACATTCATGTCTATACTCTTTAACTTTCAGGTTAATCATTTAAAGGATGATTGTGCATATAGCACTGTGCTGAGACATGTTTTGTCCCATCTTGCAGAAATAACAGACTATGCTATGGCTCTTCCGTTTGTGAGGCAGCAAGTCTACAAGACAGTGGAAAGCAAAGTTCAGAAGCAAACCAAAGGACTCTACCCTGCTCCACTAAAGATCATTGAGGTAACCCTGCTGCGAGGCCCAAGAAACTACAGTGAAGGTGGATCTGTGGGGTAATACGGCAACAGAGAGAGGGAAGGAGGCTCCTTCCTCTGAGTCAAGCCATGCATCCTGATCTTCATAGAAGATCAGTCTTGATGAGCGCTAGCTGTGTGGTGTACCGAGCAAGCATAGTAAAATTCAGAATAGCTTGCCAGAATATGATCACCAGTTTGTGGTATTGGTACCAGTAAGGGGAAGATCAAGAATTCCAGCTGAGGGAAGGCTTAGCTGGAATACTTTGTCCATGAAACCTTCAGCTGCAGTTTTTCCAGGTTTCCTATACAGTTTCTAAAGCGATGGGTTAACCTGTTTGAAGCCAGGAAAACATAAATTGCTGTTTTCATAGCACTAACCCCACAGTACTTTAAAACTTAGTCCCCTGAGTAACACAGGCATTGTATTACTTACAGACATTGTCCATGGTCGAATCCTTATTTTTAAAATTACTTTTCACTATTTAAGTTGTTGCCAAGACTTCTCTAAAACATGTGAATGCCCCCCTCTGACTCTGAGAGCAATGACATTATAGGAGCACAGTCCTACTGAAACCACAAGGTATGTGTAAAAATTAACCTGATGGAAAAGTCCTTGCTGTCGTAGCTATTCTGTGCTAGAAGGACAAGGTGATTCATAGCTCTGCTTTGAACAGCATGGACAGGACCCAGAGTCTGAAGTGTGCCTTGAGTATTGGGGAGGGGTCACTTCTGAAAACAGGAGGTGCAGCTAAACAAGTAATCTCATTAAAGGGTAGATGTTGGCAGACATGACTTAACAGCAGTGCATCTTTATTGTTCTTCTTTGACTAGGTTGTAAAGACTGGTCTTGATCAGGGGCGTGACGCTGGATACCTCACTGAATCCCAGGTAGGAGATTAGATCCCCGGTAGTAATTGGTAAGTTGCAGGGTTGGGGGGAAGGGGGGGGATTTGTATTTAACCACTCACAAAGGAACCCCTTTATTCATCACAGACTGGTCAAACTGGTGTCTTGTTCTGGCAGGAGGGCTGGGAAAAAATCTTGTCTTGAACAACAGAACTGTTTGTCAAGGTTCTTCATTTGTAAAAACAGTTTTGTGCCTCTTCTCACTCCTGTCTGGGTTATCTTTTTGAGTGGGGAATAACCAGATTGGAGTTCACTGATCCAGGTTTCATATAACAGGACTTTGATTTCTCTTTGTGTCTGAGCACTGTTTGTTTTCCGATCGTCACAAGGGACAGGTAACCTAGAGGTGCGGGTGTAGTGTTCTGAGTCTCATCAGTGTTCCCAGGCAAATTGGTGCAAGCAAGTAATTTCTTCCAAGAATTAGCTTTCATTTTTACTAGTGTTGTATTTACTCTGTCACCTTTTTTCACCACTTCTGTTCGGAGCACTGGAACAGGCTGCCCAGAGCAGTTGTGGAGTCTCCGTCTCTGGAGACCTTCAAAACCCGACTGGACACATTCCTGTGCACCCTGCCTTAGGTGACCCTGCATTGACAGGGGGGTTGGACCAGATGATCTTCAGAGGTCCCTTCCAATGCCTACCATTCTGTGATCATCTTTGTTCAGGGTGCTGATTCTCTGTTACTCTTATTTTGGTCCTGTTTTCTAGTCCAGATACTTTGTGCTGGTCCTTTTTCACCCATTGATAACTTCAGATACTTTTGAAAATTAGGTGGGTTTTTTCAGTAGTGGTTTCTCACACAGAACAGGACTTGTCTCTCCTTATCCCTTGGTCAAACTTACCTATTTAGTAACCACTCCATTCAACCTACTGGCTAGTATTGGCCATTCAGGGGAGACCTCAGCAGGTCCCAGGAGAACTGGGCAGACACAGGAACCTCGTGAAGTTCAGCAAAGGGAAATGCCAAGTGCTGCCCCTGGGGAGGAATAACCCCATGCACTAGTACAGGCTGGGGGCCAGCTGGCCGGGGAGAATCCAGCAACGGGCCACAAGGATGATTAAAGGCCTTGGAGCATCTGGCACATGAGGAGAGGCTGGGAGATCTGGGACTGTTCAGCCTGGAGAAGAGAAGGCTCGGAGGGATCTGACCAATGTGTATAAATAACCTTGGTAGGAAGCAGTAAAGAAGGTGTAGCTACACTCTTCTCAGTGGTATCCAGTGGCAGGATAGGAGGTAATGGCACAAACTGAAACGGCAGATTCCACTTAAATATGCAAACCAACTTTTTTTACTGTAAAGGTGATTGAATGCTGGAACAGATTGCCCGGAGAGGCTGTGGAGTCTCCTTCCGTGGCAATATTCAAAACCCAATCAGGGACAGTCCTAGGTAGCCTGCTGTAGTTGACTCTGCGTTGAGTGATGGGGTGGGAGAAGACAGTCTCCACAGGTCTCTTCCAACCTCAGCCATTCCGTGGTTCTGTGATTCTGTGAAATGAGCCTCTATTTCATTCTTCCTTTCCCTTCAGTTCTTTAGGTCCCTAGCACATGGGTTTTGTTTAGCACCAATAATGACTGTTAAGGGAAGTCAAGTCTTTTGCACTTTAAAGCCCAGAATACTTCACCTCTTATTCTGCTTGCTGCTTTTCCCCTTCACAGGTCCAGCCAGTGGTGAGGCAGAGCATGTATAGGACTCATAGAAGAGGTATCCTATGGCAGAGGTGTAGGTGCACGCACACGCACGTTCACAAACACCGAGTACACACATGGCTGGTTGCACAGACAGCGCGGTGCCTTTACCGGTGGCACCCACATAAACACAAACCGCTCACAGGCATGGCCAGTGCGGGTGATCGATGCTGCTCTTCCTGGCTGGCTGCTCAGAATTGAAGTTCACATGCAGCAGTAAGTGCATATGTGTACACACACACCCTTAGCAGCTGGCTGTAGGTGTTTCGTCTGTTAGTTGGCCACAGGGCCCACTTTGACCAGATGCTGACATATGGACCTCGTGTCCTAAATGCCGTCTAGTCCTGCCTGAGGTTTGCTAGTGACACACTCGGGGAAAACAGGAGTAGAATTTAATATGGAGGTAGGACAGACTGTGGTGGGCAGGTCCAGGGCTTGAGCAGGCAAGGGTACTTGCCAGCAGCTTGCTTATGCGTGACCCTTTTATTCCCCCCACACACACAGAGTCTTTGTTTTCCCCTGCTTGTTCATCCCCAGCCGTCTTGATCCCTCCCTTTCTCTGCCTTTGTCTCTGCCCTGATAAACAACCTGCCCTTAATTAATTTTTCCTCACTGGTCCCAGTTTTGCTACATCTGTGCTCAAATTTGTTACTCCTGATACTGAAGAGGTAACTCTGGCTGTGCAGTGTTACTGGTGTGGTTACCTGGGCACTGCTGGCTCTGCAAGACCTGGCTCTGCAGAAGACCCACAACACTCCCTGTGGTGTGGGTTATCTCACCAGTTAACACCCTGGTTATCTCGGCATTTTGGTCATCTCTCAGTGTTGTTGCCCCATAACCTCTGGTAAAATCCATCAGTCTCCTGCAGTACTATCTGTAACTTTCACCACCTTTTCACACTGCTGTCTGTCGCATCCCAGAGTCTTTCCTGCTGTGCTTAGTAGCTCCTTTTCTCGTCTTGTGGTGACAAGGTCATGGTCTGAGATGTAGCTGTCTGCCTCCTACCTTAACAATGACCTCATGGGTATACCCCATGTGTTCTGGTTATGCATTCCACCCACGTTTGGTCTGGTGCTGAATAAAAGGCTTGGGATACTCTGTTCCTTACAGAAAAGAATGAATGTTTTTTCCTGAGAATAGCAGCAGGATGGAGATCTTCCCAGAACCCTCTAAAGAATAATAAGTGTCAGTGTCATGTCTTTTTTTAATGCCTCCCTCTTTCCCCTAGGATAGTAGACTTGCAGATTCTCTTCCAGGCTTTGTGTTTCTGATATTTTAGCAAGCTTCTAACTTGCAGGACGGTGATGAAGGAGTATACAGCCTGCTCTAAACTATGTTGCGTTGGCGGCTTTCCTTAGCTGACTTGGCTTAGACAACGTTAGTTTGTTGTCTTTTGTCTTCCTGACTGCTTTCCCATTTCATGCTGAGTGCTGGGAGATTTTGTTGCCTGTCCATGATCCTTTGAAAATACTATCGGGCTACTGCTGTCGGTGAGGATTGTCCCGTTTTAAAGATTTTTCTCAAAATCTGAGGGCAGGGCCCTTCTACCTGGAAGCCTCTGGGGAAATGGCCCCAGGTAGTGCAGGGTGCACATGGGGGAGAAAAGGTCCCATGGCAGTGAAATACAGTCCTGCCCCTGGGGGAGTAGAAGTGGCTCCTGCATTGATTTCATAGGACCCCGCAGCTGCTGGCTGGCCGAGGCAGCGGCGTTGCTTCTGGCTTACCATCACTCCAGTGAACTGCTGGGGAGTGCTCCTCCCAAAGCCGTGCTGGGAGGGTGCAAATAGCTGTGAATGACTCGGTGGATAGGAAGGAGATGGACATGGAACTACTATGGCTGGTTTTCTTCCCTGGCAGAACCCCTGCCCCTCCAGACACAAGTTTGAGGTACATGCTCTTTCAGACACTTTAAATTACATTGTTTATGGGAAAGGATGTTGATCAAGCAATTTTCTACTGCTTTCTGGCAGCCCATACGGGAGGTAGTGGTGCTTATCGCAGAAGGTGTGTCTCTGCAGAGGAGACATACGCCCTGTCCCTTCTTCCTTTTCTAACCAGGTTACCAGTCTGCAGTTGCGCAGGGTGGCTGTGCCCTCCCCTCGCTGTGTTTTGCTGGAAGTGAGATAGGTATTAAATGCGAAACTCTCCGCTTCCCTCTTCCCTTTCTTGCAGAGCTTTGGCCAACTTGCAGTGACTAAGGAATCCAAGGCGCTGATTGGACTTTACCATGGGCAGGTGCATTGCAAGAAGAACAAGTTTGGAACACCTCAGCGAGAGGTCAAGTAAGTGCAAGTGTGGGCTGCCTGAGGAGCAGTTGGAGGACCTCTGCTAAAAGGCTCTTGGGACAGAGCAGGCTAGAGTCCTGAAAAGCAGTGTAGCAGAGCAGAGATATTTCCAGCCTCCAGAAGGCTAATCCTCTGCAGTTCGGAGGTTTCACCCACGAGTGAAATCTTCTTGCGTGACCTCACTAAAAATAGTGCTTGGGTGGACAGGATCTGTATGAATCTGACAACAGCAATGGAAATTCAGCTATTTCTAGCTTTGAATGTGTCCCCTGATCCTTTTCTGTGCAGGACTCTGGCAGTGCTGGGAGCGGGGCTCATGGGAGCTGGGATTGCCCAGGTTTCAGTGGATAAGGGGCTGAAGACCATTCTGAAGGACACAGCACAGCAAGGCTTGGACAGAGGGCAGCAGCAAGTCTTCAAGGGGTATGTAAGTTAAAAGGAATTCGCTCGGGATAGGGCTGCCTTTAGCCAAAATACTGCTCTGCTTTCAGGCAGTCAGGAACTCCTGACACTTCTGTTCATTTGGAGTCTTCTGCCATCAGATGTCACAGAAATGCTTTCTTTTAAGGTTGCCCTATGCAGTGTGCTGGGATGTTGCTACGAAATAGGCCCAGTGTATTCAGCATTAGCTCCTTAGGTAGGTAGAAAACCTAACAGATGATTGCTTTAGCTTTTAGATTTAGCAGTAGCTTATAGGGCTAAGGTGGGAGGGAGTAATCCTGGCTGCCTAGAGGCCCATGTCAGGGGAGGCATCTGGTCAGACTTCTGAAAAGCTGGATTTGTTTCCCCTGTCTTCCTGGCTCTGCTGTATAGTGCTCAGCTGTGCATCATCAGGAATGTCAGCAATTGACCTTCAAGCTAATGCACCAGCTGAGTTGTGTGAGCAGGGCTCTCCTTTTTCCAGATGGAAGGAGGGGCCGGTAGGCAGAGTGGCAGTTCTGCTGGTTTGGAGGTGGTAGTTTGGGTCCCAGCTCCAGGAGTGAGGGAGGGATGCCCTTGGTGTTGTGGTGTACCTCCAGCAGTCTGGACTGGGCTGGCCTGCCCAGGAGCTGTGACAGAGCTGTCCCCTCCCTAGGCTGAACGGCAAGGTGAAGAAGAAGAGTCTGACATCGTTCGAGAGGGATTCCATTCTCAGCAACCTGACGGGCCAGCTGGACTACAAGGGCTTTGAGAAGGCAGACATGGTGATCGAGGCTGTGTTTGAGGACATTAACATCAAGCACAAAGTGCTGAAGGAAGTGGAGGCTGTGAGTATCAGTTCTGAGCAGCTTGTGCTAGATGTGGCCCCTGTACGGTGGAGACTCAAGGTGTCCTGTCCTGTCCCGTCCCATTGGGTTTGTCACATCTTCATTGTGCTGCAGTTTAGTGCGAGTTATTTATGTCAGTACATGAGTGAATGTCAAGGGCACCCTTCCTGTTCACTAGGGATATTCACTGCTCAATAAGGAGTCAGTAGTTCTTAGCTCAACGGGGCAGTTCTGACATTCCCTGACTCCTGGGAGCTGCTCAAAAAAACCCTTTGTTTGTCTGAGCATATTGATATGACAGTAATGTCTTTTGGTATCTCCACAACTTTAGTCCTTTACTGTCTCTATCTTGCTGCCACTGGTCTTTTCTGTTCAAGAGCACACTCAGGGAAATAACTGCATGGTAAAGGATCTGGTCTGTGCACGTTTCTGAAGTCCCTCCCTGCAGTGTCTAATGTAGTTGCAATGGCCAGGCAGAAACACAGGAGCTCTGAGACTAATATTGCAGACCTGGGGAGAGATCAGGGGAAGTCAGATCTGGCTGACTTGGGGTGCTGCTTTAGAATCAGTTTCTAATACTGTCTGCCCGGAGAGAGAAAATCAAGTTTGCCTTGTTTGTCAGGGTTAGCAGATACGGTACTGTTCTCTCAGGGCTCTGGATCTGACTCTGGAGCCTGTGCACTTACACTGTCTCTTCCACCTTCTGCCACAGGTGATCCCTGCTCACTGTATCTTTGCCAGTAACACATCTGCCCTCCCAATCAGCCAAATTGCTGCTGTTAGCAAGAGGCCAGAGAAGGTGAGTACCCAGTGCCACCTGCCTGCTATGAGTCTGCTCTGTGCTGAGCTGCCTGTTAGTGGAAAACTGGCTTTGCTGTAGGTGAGCACTGGGATCTTCTGCTTCCTCCTCAGAACATGAAACAGCTCCTCCTCTGCCCCCAGTGCAAGCTTTGAACAAAGAGCTTGTGGTCTTTGGACAGGTAGGAAGAGGATGAAGGTGGACTCACCCCCAGTGTGACATTGGCGAGGCAAGGCGCAGTAGGGAGGTGAGAGCGCTTCAGGGAATGTTAATGCACGCAGAGGGGCAGAGAAGCCATGGAGGGACTCAAGCTGAGAGAACTCCAGCCAGGAAGACTTGAGTCATTTTGATAAACCGATTAGATGCAGGAGTGACTTGCCATGATGGGAAAATGCCTTCTCAAGGAGAAGGCACTAACCTAGCAGCACAAAAGGAAGAAAAGTTGGTGGCTGGAAGCTGAACTCAGAGGTGCTGAAACTGACCTTGGTCAGCCGTGGGACCAGCTCCTGAGGCGGTGGTGTGGCTTTCTCTGTGTCTCCAAATGATCCATGTGAACAGGATACCAAAAGCAACCCAGCAGCTCGTGGCAGAGGTTTGCAGCAGAGGACCTCTTCATGTGATTGTGCCCCTGTACTCAGCGCTGGTGAGGCTGCACCTTGAATCCTGTGTTCCGTGTTGGGCCCCTCATGACAAGGAGGACATTGAGGTGCTGGAGCGTGTCCAGAGAAGGGCAACGGAGCTGGGGAGGGGTCTGGAGCACAAGTCTGATGAGGAGCGGCTGAGGGAACTGGGGGTGTTCAGTCTGGAGAAGAGGAGGCTGAGGGGAGCCCTCATCGCTCTCTACAACTGCCTGAAAGGGGGTTGTGGTGAGGTGGGAGTTGGTCTCTTCTCCCAAGTAACCAGCGATAGGACAAGAGGAAATGGCCTCAAGTTGCACCGGGGAGGTTTAGATCTGATATTAGGAAAAATTTCTTTACTGAGAGAGTGGTCAAGCATTGGAACAGGCTGCCCAGGGAGGTGGTGGAGTCACTGTCCCTGGAGGTGTTGAAAAAACATGTAGACATGGCACTTTGGGACATGGTTTAGTGGGCGTGGGGGTGTTGGGTTGATGATCTTAGAGGTCTTTCCAACCTTAATGATTCTATGGTTCATCCCTTTGCTTGAATTCTAAACACCATATAAAGTAGCTGCATCCTCACCCCTTAGACCGGGCAAGCACAGCTGAGTAGGGCTTGTGGAGCAGCCTGCCCTGAGGGACGTGCCTGGCGGAGTTACCCTCCGAGGGGTGTGGGTGTGCTGGATTGGGAGGAGCCAGCTGCGTGCTGTTTTTCATTGCCATCTGTGACTGCCACGGGTACTTGCTAGCCTGAGGCTGGCAGGTCTGATGCAAGCCCTGCAGGAGACTGCGCCCTTCAGGGAGGAGCAGCAGCAGGAGACCAGACGTGACACTGCAGCGTCTGAAGTAGCGCAAGGGATCTGCGTGACCAGGTGGAGTCACCTCCCGAGGGCTAAGCATCAGTCTAGGGCAGCCTTGATATAAAATGAGGGAGACACTTTCCCCTTACTTGAGGAATCTCTTTTGCCTACCTGGTGCTGCAGAAAATTGCAGCCTTCCAGTACTTAAAGGGGGCTGGTAAGAAAGATGGGAACAGATTCTTTAGCAGGGCCTGTAGTGACAGGACAAGGAGTAAGTTTTAAACTAAAAGGGGGGAGATTCAATCTAAGGAATAAATTTTTGGCAACAAGGGTGGTGAAACTGCTGGCGCAGGTTGCCCAGAGAGGTGGTGGATGCCCCATCCCTGGAAACAGCCCAGGTCAGGCTGGACGGGGCTCTGAGCAACCTGCTCTGGGTGAAGATGTCCCTGCTCACTGCAGGGGTGGGACGAGATGGCCTCTGACGGCCCCTTCCAACCAGAAGATTGTATAATTCCATGACTCTATGGTTGGCCATGCAGTTCTGTGAGATAATCCGATCTCCCTCTAAAATGGGTGGGATGGGGAGGCAGTAGCAGCTTGGGCAGAAGGAGGGGGAAGCTCTGGAGCTCAGCTGGCATTATGCAAATGCAAAAGCATGGGTACCCTTGGCTGGTTCCCTAAACTCTTACTAGGGTCTCAAGTACTGCCCTGGTCAGTGTGTTGCCTCTGCTGCTTGTCTTCCTGCAAAAGTTTTGTTATCATCTGCAAAGGCCGTAGAGTAACAGCCTGTGTCCCTGCTGTTGGAGGTTCCTGTGACCTTTCTAAGCCTCTTCCTGCGTTACCTTAGTTTTATCGGAAATTCAAACTGAGTCTGATTTGTTCATACTTCCAAATAACATCCTCTTGCTGTATAAATCGCCTGTGTAATGGCTCTTTATGGGGAAACTAATAGGAAATCAGTTAACTAATTCGTGTATTTTCTCTAATTAGTTTTGCAGTCTGCGACTGCAAGGTGCCTCTGACTTACACAGGTCTTAGTGCCAGGTGTAGCTTCCAGGAGGCATGAGGGCAACATGCTGATTACATGGTTGTGTTACGAAAGTGAGGCACACAGACAAATAATCTCCACTTGAACACTGTTCCCAGAGGAAACGTGCACTTACCTCTGTAATTAGTTTCTGGAAACATGCCTTCTTGTCCTTAAATTCACTTAATCATCCAAAAAAAAAGAATCTAAACAAAACATTCACCAGCAGAACACAGAGACTCAGCTCAGCATCTGTCTCTGACTGCTGTTCCACTCTCAACGTCCAGAAGAAGCACCACCCAGGCGTGTGGCTCCTCTGCCAGCTCAGTACCTGCAGATCACGCAGTGCCTGTAATTTGCCTGGGGACTGAGCTCAGCTAGGATTCCCAGACTGGTTTTGCTGTTAGACGATTAACAAGCACAGAGAGAGCTGAGCAGCACACTTGGTCCTGTAAGCATTATATCTTCACTGAGGCAGGAGCTGTGCTATGTGCTATGTCCTTGGGAAAGCCAAGGAGAGAAAGGGAGTTGGAGAGGGATGTAGTGGAGTGTGTGACTGAATGGGTGGTGCGCTGTGGTAACGGGTCTTGCAGCCCATGCTGGCCTGCTTCCCTCTGCTGTTGGGCACTTGCCTTGCCCAGCAGATTGCTCTGGGAGCCAAAGTCTGTCTTAACCAGGCTTAACCCTGAGCTCTTTCTTCTGCTTAGGTGATCGGGATGCACTACTTCTCCCCTGTTGACAAAATGCAGCTGCTGGAAATAATCACCACAGACAAAACATCCCAGGACACAGCTGCTTCCGCTGTTGCTGTTGGCCTCAAACAGGGCAAGGTCGTCATCGTGGTAAAGGTGAGAGAACGCTGCATAAAATATAAGCTGGGGTGATAAATAAAAGGGCAGACTTGTGCACTGAGAGGAGGCTGAAACACAGCTGTGAATACACTGGCATTAGCTATTCACGCTGCAAAGTAAAAACGGAGGTTAGAAGGGTGGCAGGTGCCCAGGTGATCTCCTGGGTGTCCTCTGGAGCAGCCATGGAAGGCCACAAGGTGCAGCAAGAGTCTGATCAGCCAGCACGAGGCACTGACGGTCCTGTTCCACATAACTTCCGGGAGGCTGAGATCTGCAGTGGCATCTGAGATGGAGCAAGAGTCTGCCAGGACTCTCACCACCTCTTCAAGACAGAGAAGAGGACAGAGGGGTCTGTGAGCAGTAACCCTCCTCTTTCTGGATTTCAGTCTTGTGTGGGAGGGGGCAGAAATACACGTGCAAGTGCAGGGGAAGAGCTATACCAAGCAGAGGGAGAAGACTGAGCACAGCACAGCGAGGCAGGAGTTTAGAACAAACCTCTGTGGTCTGTAGGAAGAGGCAGCAGAGCCTCAAAAAAGCCATGGGCTTTGCGTGGTTTGTTAAGCTGACGGCTGCTGTTGAACACATGGCCCTCCAAACGGAGTTGGTCTCGTGCTCCATGGTAGAAAACATCAGTGATGCTGTTTAAGCTGTGGGGGAGGTTCAGCCGGTAGGCTCAGGGCTGTTTGGTGAGCATATTTTTGGATTGGTCTTTTCACTGATGTGTGAGGTTGCCAGCAATGCTGGACAGGTCTCTCCTGTGGTGCTGGGAAAACTGGCTTGTCTAGAAGTGCTCTAGGCATCTCTAAAGGTCAGTGGAGATACAGTGCTGCTTCTCTAACCCTCATCCCCATGTCAGAGGCATCCCTGAATGGCAGCTTGCAGCTAACTTGTTGCTTCCTGACTTTGTGAGCAATGTCAGAGATGAAACAACTGGTTTATGCCTGTTTCACTTGTGCTAAGCACCCTTTTCCCCCGTCAGCCTGTTGGGCTTGATGAAGCAAGGGGACTTCTGCAGCCTGTTTGGGACCTCCAGGCACTATTCCAAATAAAAACACTTCTGGGGAGTATGTTCATGGGAGTCTTCAGACACCACTGAGCCCTACAGGAAAAAACTATTCTAGCGTGTCTGTTCTGCATGTCAGTGCCTGAAATGCAGCCTGGGCTGTGAAACATGGTTCCTGTGCTGCCAGTGGAGGCTGTGTTCCTGCAGTTTGTACTCACCTGCTTTCTTGCTGCACTCTTCCCTAGGACGGGCCTGGCTTCTACACCACTAGGTGCCTGGGGCCGATGCTGGCAGAAGTGGTGCGAGTACTCCAGGTGTGTATCCCATCAGCTACCGAGCATCCGCCAAATAGTCATGTAGACTGCTTCTTCCTTGCCCCAGTCAGGCTGACCCCAGCCCTGGCCAAGAAGGGAGGTGGGTAACCAGCCCTGGTGCCCATGGCTGTCCCCAGCTTGCTCTTGGCTGAGCCATGGTCTGATGAGATGTGGTACAGACAGTGATGAGGCTCTTTCCCCCTCGCATGGAACCAGGGGAGAGTCAGGAGTGGTGCAGGCACAATTACCCTGCTCCTGCCCGTAATCAAATGGGACTGGTCGCAGTCTGTGGCACCAGATGAGCGAGGTCTTTCTGCCCCCACATTGGATTTCCAGGACCCTTGCCCAGAGATACCATTGCTTCCCCTTCCATCCCTGCAGGAGGGCATTGACCCAAAGAAAATAGATGCCATCTCTACAGCCTTCGGCTTTCCTGTGGGTGCTGCCACGTTGATTGACGAGGTGGGTGTGGATGTGGCCACGCACGTGGCTGAGGACCTCGGCAAGGCCTTCGGCGAGCGCTTTGGAGGAGGCAGCATCGAGTTGTTCAAGCTCATGGTGGAAAAAGGCTTCTTAGGTGAGATGCTAGGCTGTTTTAATCTAACATGCTTCCCCTTTGTTCAAGGAAGAGGACTAGCATCCATCAGCCTGTGCTGCCTCAGGTGAAAGCAGTCAGAGAACAGCCCCGGGAGAGGGTCAGGTACCAGCTGTACCTTGGGTAGACCTCTGGCTGCAGCTAGACCTTTCTTTGCAGAAATGGCAGCGGCAGGCAAAGGTGCTGCCCAGAGCAAAGGCAGCAGAGCAGACAAGATCTCTCGAACCTCTTTCTGGCCCCTTTGTGAAACCTGTACAAGCGCCCCGGGACATGGGGAGCAAATGGCAGGAAGTAAATGTGCTCAAGTGAAATAAGCCCTGAGCTGAGGTTTAGAAGCTCTGTGCCAGGAATGATTATGGCTCTGTCTGCATGGCAGAAGCTGTGCCCTGGTGGTGCTGGGTGCCAGAGGCAGCTGTGCCTCTGAGCACACCAGGACGGAGCAGCTTGCATCGATGTGACCTGCACTTGGACCACACTGCCTGTGCTGGGAGGATCTGCTTGTGCTAAGGGGAGGATCAGAGGCGAAGGTGTCTGGAGCAGACAGGACACGTGGCAGGATGTGACTGTCTCTCTTTATCCCTGTCAGGTCGCAAGGCAGGGAAAGGCTTTTATATTTACCAGGAGGGGGTGAAGAACAGGAGCGTGAATTCTGGCATGGATGAGATCTTGGCGAGGTTCAAGGTGCCAGCCAAACCTGAAGTGTAAGTAGCTGCGCACGCTGAGCGGTGGTGTGGGCTGGCTCTCACCTCTGGGCACGGAGTTACCCCAGATGCCATTTGGCTGTTCCCAGCTGGGTGCAGGCTGTTGGTTCTGGAGAGCCTGTGCTAGCAGGAACGGGGCATCCTCAAATTTATCAGCATTTGCTTGGGCACCTTTGCAGAGAGCTTTCCTGTGGTGGGGCTTGCCAGGGCAGGCGGGTAGGTGCAGCCTCTGCTGTGACCTTCCTGATGTCGGAGCTGTTGTACAGCCTGGTGCTGGGACATCTCCTGGAGCAGTTCCCATCTGGCCTGATCAAGTTTTTGCTGTTCTTACGTGCCTGCTTCAGGACACATCTTAGTCCTTATCCTCATGGGGGTAGGGACAGTCTCAGTGAGAAACTATTTTGTCCCCTACCTCAGGCCTGGCTCAGTCCCCTGTCTGTGCTGGCTTCATGTGCTCCTCCCTCCAGCTGCTGTGTTACCTGCACAGCCCTTACAGACTCTTTCCTTGCAGCTGTACCGATGAGGACATCCAGATGCGCTTCGTGACGAGGTTTGTGAATGAGGCAGCCATGTGCCTGCAGGAGGGGATCCTCAGCACCCCTGTGGAGGGAGATATCGGTGCTGTGTTTGGCTTGGGCTTCCCCCCATGCCTGGGAGGTAAGTGGTTTTAGCTGGGGTTTGGGCTAGGCTGCAGGGCTTGGCTGGAAAGCTTTGTAGTGGGCTTGCCTAGTGGGCTCTAGCCACTACAGGTGAGTCAGCTGTTAAGGCTGCATTTGAGCTGCAGTCTGACAAGCCTGAGCGTCCTTATCCCACGTAAACCCTCAGCCAAAGAGGTTGCTCCAGTGTTCCCACCCCATGAGAGGTGGCAGTGAGCCTGAGAGCTGCTGTGAGACAGTTCTGCCTGTGGTGTTCCTCCACTGGTACCGCTGTTTCACAGAGCTGTGGCTGGTGAGGATCAAAGGACTCTAACCCAGGCCATTTGCTGTGTCTTTTGGGTTTGAATAAGAAGGCAGAGCCGTGCTGGCCCTAGCCTCATCGGCACTTCCTATAACTCCAAAGGAAGAGCTCTCACCGTGCCTAACAGTTGTGGGGCTTTTGTGCAGCCAAATGGTGCTCGGTGAAAAACGAGGCTCTGGTATCGCATCTCTTGCCACTGCTACGTGCCTGCGCAGGCAGGCATCTTGCAGCACTTCTGCAAACCTGATCCTGAGCCACACACAGAGCTGAGAAACGGTGCCCAAGGATGCACCATGCCCCCCATGCCCTCACACTGTACAGATAAAGCTGAGCTGATAACTTCAGCTGTGGCACACAGCACTTTTCAAGCTGAGATACCTGCTGGGCCTGGTCAGGACCATGGGCGAAGTTCTCCCAGACCCGTCTGCTACCTGCCTGGGTGGCCGTGGCCATGGCTTGGGCAGCGGACAAGGTACGAGCTGAGGTTTGGGTCACAACTGAAGGATACTAAGTGCTCTTGGGCATGAGGTCGTGCTTCTGCTGAGTATCTAGCACTTTCTGTCGCCGAGGCAAGCTCAGGTTAGGGGAGCAGTCCCAATTATCTGTGTCCCAGCTTGGCCCCAGCAATCTGCTCTGCCTCTGCAGAGGTGGGCAGGCAGAGCGCAGGGTTCTGCGTTGCCCTGCCGAGAGGCTGGGGCTCTCTTTTGGAGAAGGCCAGATCTGCCAAATCCAGTGCCCTCATCCTTCCTGGCACCTTTGGTGCTTCTCATTTCCCTGGCGCTGATGTGGCTCCCTGTCCCCGGCAGGTCCCTTCAGGTATGCAGACTCGTACGGAGCCAAGCAGCTGGTGGACAAGCTACGGAAGTACGAGGCTGTCTACGGCAACCAGTTCACGCCGTGCCAGCTGCTGCTGGACTACGCCAACAGCCCAAGCAAGAAATTCCACCAGTGAGCGTGGCCTGACGCCGCCCACCCGTGACACACCAAGAGCTCGAGCTGGGGCCACCGGCTCTCCAGCAACATCCCATTCTCTAGGTTAATCTGCAAAGCACCCGGGGGAGGCAGGGACGGAAGGAGGGTGGCAGAGGATTGCCTCGTGGCTTGTAATCATGTCAAGTGCCTTATCAGCTACTGTGTGTTGGGCACGTCCATCCCCTGCCAGCGTGGGCCTGCTGCCTCTTTGCTGGAAGAGAGAATTTCTTCTGTGTTCACCTCCATGCTGTGACCTCCAGAGCACGCAGCTGGGCCCGACGCCTTGCCTTTCCGTAAACCTCCAACGATAAATCCTCGTCTCCTGGGTTTGGATTCCATGCCTACTTCTCCTTCTGTCTCGCTGGGGCAGCAGCGTCTCGGCACCCAGGAAGGGAACCACTCGAGTCGGAAATAAAGCGTTCAGGCAATCCGCTGGGGTCCTCTCTCTGCTTGCCGGCTGCGAGACCCACAACAGGGCTGCTGGCGGTTGCCGGAGGATGGGGAAAGGGAGGGGAGGGCAGCAGTGCAGAACAAAGACCGGCTCTGTCACCTCTGCCATCAGTCGGGGTCTGGGAGGAGACCAGCTCTTTTGTCTGGCCGCGAGTGCTGCCGCTGGGGTTATGCTGGCAGATGGACCCGCCTGTAATTGCAGATCAAGCAGCCAAAGGCCGGAAGGGTGCCCCGTGGGGCGAGCTCGCTTTAAACTAAAAGGCTTTAAATCTCTGTCCACCTGTCACTAATTTCAGAGCTGGCCTGGCCTCCACCTCCTCGGGCTCCTGCCCTTTTCCTGGGCCCTGGCAGGGCTTGGGCGGGAGCAGGGTGATGCTGCGCTTTTCAAAGAGGACAAAGTGGGGCTGAGCCATCGTCTCGTCCTGCCTCTGGGGGAGGCAGCAGGCTGCCTGCAGAGCTGGTAACTGGCCTTCAGCCCTCCCAGGGGGATGCAGCAGCCCCTGGGCCCTGGCCCCTGCCCCTTTGTGGGGTCTGAGCCTTGTTTGGGGGCAACCCTGCTCCCCCCTGGGCCTGAGGGGCTGGGGGGGTCTCGTCCCCTTGCTGTGGCTCCATCCAGCTCTGCGCAGTGGGGCTTGAGGGTCCTTGGAGCACCTCGCCGTGGGCCCTGGGAGAGGCGTGTGCTTTGGGGGTGGGTGCAGCCCTGAGGACAGATCTCAGCTTCCCTTCCCCAGGGTCAGCCATGTCCATCAGGCAGAGGAGCTTCCTTCCAGGGCCCTGAAAGCACCCTGGGCTGCGGGCAGCCCAGAGCAGCTCCGAGGGCAATGCTTTCCCTTGGATGGAGGACACCAACCCCGTCCCCCGAGGTCTGGCAGGATGGGAGCGACCCCCAGAGCCTCTGTCCCTGCCAAGAGCCCCTTTCCCCCTCCTCCCTGAGCAAGGGGCTTCTCTGGTGGCTTGTTTTTCTCCCGTACATTTATTAATGCTAATCCACAAGGATTAAGTTAAACCAGTCAACGCAAACTCCAGTATTTTCCAGCCCGTTTGGGCCAAAATTACTGTCCAGTGTTAAAATGGAAAGGGGAGAGGGCTGGGCAATAGGGCCAAGCTGCCAGGGAGAAGGAAAACCGGGTGGCCCCTGCCGCATCGGGGCACCCCTGGAGCGGGGCAGGGGACGGGAGCAGGGAGAGCCAGAGCTGTGGTCCAGGCGGCTGGGGGACCCCCGCAGTCCAGGGGGTCCCCAGCGTGCGACTAGATCTTGGGGCGCCAGCCCTTGATGAACTGCATGATCTTCTTCACCTGGAGCTTGGTGAGGCGGAAGTCGTCAGCCAGGATCTCCTCGCTGAGCTGCACGAAGATGCTGCCGTCGATGCGCTCGCGGGCGAAGAAGCTGACCACGTCCTC